GACCATGCACAAGCGTGGGTCTGTCTGTGTACACATGGGAGATCCAGGGGGATCCTAAGATCTCACTGTGACTCATCCTGTGGTGCGGTGTCAGCAGCAAGTGAAGGCTAAGGCAAGGTTGACAGCTCTGACTGATTGTTGAAGGTATATCCCAAAATGCTTACAGAGCCCCTCTGTAAAATCTTGAAGATTCATTGCTTCTGAGTGTTCAGAAGTAAGTCCAATAGAGTAGCAAATTGAAGCTGCAGAAGAGAGCAAGGAGAGAATAATATCAGTGGTCCAGACCACGTGGGGGCTGAAATGCTTCAGTGATGTCTGTCTTGTCAGGCGCAAGGACAGTGCACCTCTCTAAAGAGAAGAGAAAAGAAAGAGCTGCACCGGGGTGGCTGAAGACCAGGAGCCAGCCAACAGCTAGCAGGCTGAGTCCACATTGAGAGTTCGTGGAGAGCAAAAGGGTAGGAAAGCAAACCAAGCAGGAAAAGACTGCATCTCTGGCTAGATGGATGGCCCAGTTGAATCAGCGAGACATGATATGATCAGTCAACAAGAATCTGACATCATTAACACACGCATGGAGAGTAGGCCTGCAGGTGGACTAACCAGAATCCCTGCTCTTGCCGTTCCTTAAAAAGTAGCTGTTTTCTCTCTAAAATCTACCCACTGGGCCTGGCTAGGGCGAGAGCCTCCTTCCCTTTCATGACTGCTTTCTGATCATTCTTTATCCAAAAATCCAAGGCTGAAACCTGAAGCCTTAGGCCTCTTCTGCTTGCCACCTTCTTGCCACAATGACTTTCCAGCTTCCAGGCTACACAGTCCCTGCTCCTTCCCTAATACTGGAAGGGCTCAGCCTTTCACGTACTGTCACTCCCTCTGACACGACTCCTGACTTAATTCTTGATTTCAGTAAACTCGTAGAAAATTATTTTAACATTCAATTTAAAATATTCTTTCTCTTTAAAAGAATTTAACAATATATTAGATTCTCATGGCATCTCCTTGTGTGTCTGTCCTTGTTCCCTGGCTGCCTCTTGGGTCAAATTGTCCAATTTCATAAAGAACTCGGAAGCTCACCAACGAGATGACATGTCACCCAATTAAAAACTGACCAAAGGATTCAGACAGACATTTCTGAAATTTCTGGTATGAAGTGCACTTACTTTCTCTTTGAACTTGCTGTTTATTATAAAGATCAGGGCCCAGTGCGATAGCATAGTGGTTAAAGTCCTCGCCTTGAACGCTCCGGAATCCCATATGGGAGTTGGTTCTAATCCCAGCGGCCCCGTTTCCCATCCAGGTCCCTGTTAGTGGCCTGGGAAAGCAGTCAAGGATGGCCCAAAGCTTTGGGACCCTGCACCCATGTGGGAGACTCAGAGAAAGCTCCTGCCTCCTGGCTTCAGATTGACTCAGCTGTAGCCATTGTGGCTAAATGTGACTTACAGCCGAAGGTAAGTAGGAGTTACAGATTTCTTCCTACTTGTCTTAGCTATCAGTTTCTGTGTAGCAATTAGCCCCCAAATGTGATGGGCTAAACAGCATGCTCTGCTGATTTCACATAGTTTTTTTTTGGGGGGGGGGGTCAAGAGTTCAGGAAGAGCTTAACGTGGGATGGTACTGGCTCAGGTTCTCTGGAGAGGCTGCAGGAAGACGCCAGCTAGGGTTGAGATCATCTGAAGACTCAACAAGGCTTGAGGGTACTCTTGGGACAAATCACTCACATGGCTGGTAGGTCAGGGCCTGATTTGTGGGTGGCAAATCTCCCTGCCAAACCACAGGGGCTCCTCACACGGCAGCTAGCGCCCCCTAGCATGAGTGATGCTAAAGAGAAGCTGGAAGAAACCTTGCAGTCTTTCACAAGCTAGCCTGTCGCATCTACAGTGCAATGTTAGCAGGTGCAGAGAGGCAGGGCGGGCAGTGGAGGGAATTTGACCAATCTCATACACCAAGCGACAGGAGTTCCTGGAGGCAGATGATGACACCCCCAAATGGGAGACAGCCCTGCTGATTTTTAAAAAATGATTTTTTTAAAAAATTGGAAAGGCAGATATACAGAGAGGAGGAGAAACAGAGAGGAGGAACTTCCGTCCTCTGATTTACTCCCCAAGTGGCCGCAATGGCCACAGCTGCGCTGATCCGAAGCCAGGAATCCAGAGCTGGGGGCCTCCTCCAGGTCTCCCACATGGGTGCAGGGTCCCAAGGCTTTGGGCCATCCTCGACTGCTTTCCCAGGCCACAAGCAGGGACTTGGATGGGAAGCGGGACTGCTGGGATTAGAAGCGGTACCCATATGGGTTCCGGATGCGTGCAAGGTGAGGACTTTAGCCGCTAGGCTACCACACTGGGTCTGGCAAAATACCTTTTTAAAAAGCTTTAAGGAATCTTATGCAATATAACTCACATTTAAAAGCATTTTTAAAAGATTTATTTATTTGGAAGAGTTAGAAAGAGAGAGAAATACAGTGAGAGAGAATCTTCCATCCACTGGTTCACTCCCTAAATGCTCTAGTGAAGAAGCTGGGAGGTTCTTCGAGGTCTCCCACCTGGGTATAGGGGCCCAAGACTTTGAGCCATCTTTTGCTGCTCTGCCAGGTACACCAGCAGGAAGCTGGATCGGAAGTGAAGCAGGCAGGACTGAAAAGGGTGCCCATGCTGGGTGTCGTGTTGCACCACAGTTCTGGCCCCAATACAATCAATATTTCTAATCTCCAACCTAGAGATGGTCAGGGAATGTTCGGTTTTGACCTGAACTCTCAGGGCATGTTAGAAGGGACTGAGTCATCTGAAACAGCTAGCGAGAGGAGGCCAGGCTACTTGTTCCGGGGTACACAGCAGCAGCAGCAGCAGCAGCAAGAGGACATTGCCTTATCCCCAGTGACCCTGGCCGACTGGTGTCCCAGGCGGGGCCCCCCAGAGTCCTTCTTGGCAATCCCTGTCTGGTTCCCCCTAGATCCAGAAGGGACAACTCCACAACTGAGGCCTTCATGACTAACTCTTACGGTCTTACTTATTTTGTAGGCATCCTTAAGAGTTCACCATGGAGGGGCCCGGCGCGATGGCGCAGTGGTTAAGGTCCTCGCCTTGCACGCCCGGGATCCCATATGGGTGCCGGTTCTAATCCCGGCAGCCCCGCTTCCCTTCCAGCTCCCTGCCTGTGGCCCGGGAAAGCAGTCGAGGACAGCCCAAAGCCTTGGGACCCTGCACCCGCGTGGGAGACCCGGAAGAGGCTCCTGGCTTCGGATCGGCATAGTATCGGCCATTGTGCTCACTTGGGGAGCGAATCATCGGACGGAAGATCTTCTCTCTGTCTCTCCTCTCTGTATATCCGCCTTTCCAATAAAAAAAAATAATAAAAATAAATTGTTATTTTTAAAAAAAGAGTTCACCACAGAGGCTCAAAGAAGGAAACATATGGCAGTCCTCAGAGAACAGCAGAGAACACCCCTCTCCCCTGCTCAGCCTGGCTTCCGCGTGGGCAGTAACGTGCTGTCTGAGAGGGGCTTCAACAGTCTCCCAAGTTGGATCACGATTTTCGCCGGGGCAGCCCAGGATCCCCCTTCCCCGCTTTCCAGTAGCCCCTCCTCCGTGTGAGAGAGAACTACGGGCAGTGTTCCCCCTGGAACAAATTGGACAGAGAGGCTGGGAGGCCCTTCTCCGAGTGTGTCAGAGGAATTCTTGCCTTGTTAGAGGCAGTTGGAGGGCTATTGGGAGAGTGAGATCAAAGGCTGAGAGTGGGGCAAGCTCAGAGGCCTCCAGCTCCAGCACCTAAACCCAGAAATTTCTTTAATTCCCTAATTCGCGTTAATTAACAGGGAATGGTGGTGACCCCCCCTCCCCCAACTCCGCAAAAACAACCAACACAAGGCTTGCTGATCAACTCAAAGATAAACCTCACGGGACAGACAGGGGGGATTCTGGAGAATCTGAATTCTTTCCTCCCAAGAGAGATAAAACAAAGAAAACGTCTCGATTACAAGCAAAAGGGTCAGGCCTTCCAAATGCAGACCTTCGCATGTGTGGAGCCGCACCAAGAATAAGCAAGAAAATATGCTATTTGAATTGCGTTCAAAACGTCTTTTACAAGTGAAGCAAATTACTTCTGCATGTTCTGGGGGTTCTGCTGAGAACAAATAGTGTTCTGCCTTTAATGGGTAAAATTACACAATTTGCTTTTAACATAAACCCAAAGCCACAGTGACTTCAGATAATATCGCACTCCCGCGGCCCCTCTCCCAGCAGTTCTGAACATTCTTGGGGGACACGGCCGTCCCCAAGGGCCTGGCAGGGCGCCGGCAGTGACAACCTGGCCTGTTTCTTTTCTTGACTATGTCCCTCTTCCAACCCCCCAGCTTCTCCTGTTCCTGCCGCTGCCGCTGGCTTTTGGGACCGGGCTGCTCTCCAGTTGGCTGCAGTGAGGCGCACAGGATCGCTTGGAGTTACTGACCTGTGTTCTGTCCCCAGGTGGTGGGTGACGCCCGCTACGCGAGCCTCCCTTACCGTCCACCTGGACGCTCCCAAGGAGACACCTTTGTGTCCGAAACGCAGGCGGGAGGGCGGGCGAGAAAGCAAGTCCTGGGAGCGACAGGCGGTCCCTGGGCTCCCCACCCGCCGCCCGCTGCTGGCGCGTCTTCCCGGCAGAGGGCGCCGGCGCCGATCTCGCTCTGCCCATCGGGGCGGGCGAGCCAGGGACCCTGCCTCCTGAGCGCCCGCCCGCGGTCCGCCCCCCGCGCTTGTCCCGGCGGCCGGCGGGACGCCCGAGCCCGCGCCCGGGAGCCTCCCCCAGCGAGCCCGCGCCGCCGCCGCCGCCGGAGCGGAGCTGCACGTCTGAGCTGGCAGAGGAGCACGGCGACCGAGGAGATCCTCCAAGGGGACCAAGTTGGGAAGCGCCGGGGCACAAGGAGGAGCGGACCCGCAGCCCCAACGGGGTGGTGCCGTGCGGTCCCGTGCCCCGGCTCCGAAGCCCGAGCGCGGCAGGCGGAGGGCGGCCCGGCCCTCACGGCCAGCGGCATGGCCTGGGGCTCGGCGCTGCCGCGACGCACGCCCATCTGCGCCCCCGCCGTCTGGGCGGCCGTCGCGTTCCTGCTCTCCGTACCCTGGATCTCAGGTACGCCCGCTACTTCCCCGGTTCCCGCGTCTCGGCCGCCGCGCCGGCGCCCGCGTTCCACAGCGAGGGGCGCCGGACAGGGCCCTCCGCACCGCACCCGGCGCCAGCCTCGGCCCCCCGCGCCCGGGTCCGCGCCCCCGGCCGCCGCGGGGCTGGTTCTAATAAGCCGCGATTTGGGGCGGGCTAAGTGTTTCCAGAGCTGGGAGCGGGCGGCGGAGCCCCTCGCCGGGGGCTTTGCGAGGGTCGTGGAGAGCGAGCGAGGGTGCTGCTGAGTGTGTGCGCGCCAGGGGCCGCGGACCGGCATCCGAGGCTGTGCGCCCTGGGTCTCAGGACTTGGGACTCGTGCCCTTCCTCCTCGAGGTTAACCTTTCTGGGCACAAGGATCCCAGAGGTCCCTGCCTGCTCTGGAGGGCCCCACCCCAGGTCTGGATGATGCCCGGCGGGCTTCCTGGTTGGGCGAAGGCGGCTGTGAAGCGTCCCATAGCTCCCTGATCCTGACCCTCCACCCCGGCCGCAGGGTTGAACGCGCTCTGGCTTCCTTTTGTTGGCTCTTAGCCTCCGCTCTCCTCCACTTGGGGATGGCTGAAGCGCGGTGTGTTGTGGTGGCTGGGGTCGGTCTGGAGAGGGGGAGGGGAGGAATCCCTTGAGGACCCCAGGGAAGGCGTTCGGCTGGAGGGGTGGAACTCGGCTCCCGCGTGATTTTCTTTCCCTCGAGGGGAAACCCACAGCCCTCGGGGAACTCGGCTGCCTGGCCTTAGGGCGCGCTAGACCCGGGACAGACGCAGAGGGGATGGCCGGAGGTTTAGAGGGGGGCGCTGGGGCGCCTCGTTTTGGGTGTGGAGGAAGGCGGCTCTGATCTTCGCCTGCTACACCCCCAGAGCAACCTCCGGCCTGCGCGCCTCGGAGCGGGATTCCGGACACCCCGCTGACCAGGGCGAGGGCCAGCGGAGGCTTCTGGACTCTGAGAACTAGAGACCGAATAAGTTCGCTTTGAGTTTCAAAAATGCGTGGGTTCGCTCCTTACACAGCCGGGGACTTCAGTGTTCATTCCAGCGGGCAGGTGTGGCCGAGGGCACCGTGGCGGGCAGGGGGCGTCGGGCTCCTCTCGCGGCGCACCGTGCGCTCCAGGTGTCCGGACTGCAGCCCTGGCGAACCCTAGAGGAGCAGTCTCTCCAGGAAAGGACAGAGGGGGTGGGGCGTTTCGTTTCAGCAGATGCGGATTACGTCAGACATCCCCCCCGTCGCTGAATTTGGAAAGGGGGTTTACTTTTCTGTCGTCGTGGGTTAACATGTAAGTCCCCGAGAAACTGGGTAAAATGAGAAGTAAACATTTTTAAGTTGCGGCCAGTCGCTTGTGACCTCGGCCGACTGTGCAGCCCTCCTCCTAACCTTCCGAGTCGGGAGGTCCAAGTGCTGGAAGATTGGGGTGGAGTGGGGCTCCCCAAAACGGGTTGCCTCGCCCTAGGGGTTACTGAGCCAGAGCCTGTGGCCAAGCCCGAGTTGATCTTCCCGCCAAAGCCTCAGTTGGCCGAGGCGGTTCTGGAAGGTGCTGGAGGTTCTGCGTTTGAGGCAACACCCTTGAGAAGGGATCCTGTGTCCTGGCTTAACGTGAGGTTGTTCCCAAAACAGCGAAGTCGCTTGTGTTTGTCGTGGTGTCGCTTAAAACAGCCGCCGGCTGCGAAGTGTGTGCTGAACAAAGCAATCCATTTTCCTCAGCCTTCCAGCATGTGTTTTCTCTCTGGTGAAAATAATAACTGTAAAGGAGGAGGTAGGGTTTGATTCTCTAAATTCTGGATTGCTAGGTTAACCCAAGACTCAAAGAATGTGTTACAAGTCATGTTCAGAATAGGGGTAGACTTCATCATTACAGGCGATTTGGGCGTTGTGGGTATCGTTTCTGTTAGAAGTCCCTGCACGAAGCAATTGACTGTGCAGAAACCTGGAAAAACCATGATGCAAGACTTGTGAATTCCTACTATGTATTTTTATGTTCCCTAAAGAGGCAGAAATTTGATTTGGGACCCTGGACCCTTCCTTAGGTCGGCTGGGAGTTGATGGAGCTGGGGGGTCCTTCTCCCCCATTTTGATAATGTAGTGTTTTCCTCTGGTTCAGATTCCTGAAAGTCGGGGCCCTGAGTGTATAATGACCCATTAAGAGGAAAATAAATGAAAACATCTTATATAAGAAGTCTTTGTGGGAAAAAAATGTGCTTATGGATGTAATGTAGTAAGGCAGCATGTTTTTCTTGTTAAGGCTGTGTACCAAGCAAAGAACTACACTTTTGAAAACTTGCTGGTGTTTAATAAGAAGATTACGTGTATCCTTGGCATCCCACTTGATAAGCAGGGTCTGAGCCCCCGAGACTCTCCTGGTCACCGGGGAACTCTAGTGTCAGGAGGCTGAGCTTCTGATTGGTAACGCAAGCTGCAGTTTGAAAACCCAGGAGTTGAGCTTCCTCCATTGGCTTGTCAAACAATCCGGCTTTAAACACATTTTTTTTTTTTTCCAGGGGTGGTTTTTGGTGGCAGTAGATGGCAAGATTGAGGAGACCATGTGGGAAGACTTTTCTATTTTTATTGTTCAACATTGTTTCTGTTCTTGATTACAAGTGCAACCATAATTGGGCTTCGTATGTTCCTCTGCATTGTGGTGTGACTTGCAGTGGATCCCTGTTGCTGCTTCTTCAGGGTTTAGCCTGCCATTAACCTCCTAGACTTTTGAAGCCTGACAGAGTCTCTCTTCTTTACACTGCCTGGTCTGTTATTGGCAATCTTGTTTTTCTCAAGTCAGAGGAGTGGAATCGCAGGTTTCAGCTGGGGTAACCGACACTCCTTTAAAATGCATTCCGCAGGAAGCTGGGGTGGGAAGTGTTGACCCTTGAAGCTGCAACCTGGAGAAAAAGGGCTTGGGTTCCCTCCCGGGCAGGACCCAATTGGCCTGATGGAGCCTTGGAGATTTGTGTACTCCTGGCTAAGTCTGTTCTCTGGGAGAATTCTAATTATGTAATTCCAGGCTGTGTTTCTGGGATAAGAAAGTGCGATCCTGTTAGCGCCTGCCCATCTTTTAAAAATGGCTCCTCCAGGACAGTGACCTTTTGGTGTTTATCAGGTTGCTTTCCTGGGAACCTGGTGCCTTCTGGAAGAGACCTTCCCCCACTAAGGCCTCTTCTGGTTACTGGGCAGTGATGTGGGGGTGGAGGCTCAACTTGGGCATCACACAGTTGTGCCTGGAGGGGGGGCTCCCCTGGGGCTGGCTCTTCCTAGTCCCTCCTCTTTGGATCCTTAAAAAATTAAAAAATAAGTCATTCTTTGGATGTTTCCTTCTTTGGGAACCCTGCGGTGACCACCTAGTGGACCCTTTTTCTACCCAGCTTGAGAGGTTTCAGAGCAAACAAACCTGGCTTTTGCATCGCAGGACAGGCTTTGCTGTAGAGGTAAGGAGTTCTATCTGTCACACCCCTGCTGGGTGGCCAGTTTCAGGAGAGAACTCGAGGGCTTTGAATTCTCTGTGAGTTTTTGGGCTCTGGTTTTGCACAAGAGCACAGCCCAAGAGCACAGCGGAGGTCATCGGGTGGTATGCCCTTCTTGAGTTCTGTAGCCTAAGTTCAAGCGAGCTAGAGGGTCCTGGCTCATTAGTTAAGGCTGCAACAGGCTGGGGTTTTGTACCAGCCTCCTTTTTGCTTCCAGCGTGGTTTTGCCGAGGAGCCTGCCAAGTTGGAAATGTGGGCGGGACAGTTTGGCTTACATGTTCAGTTGTCAATAAAATATGTCTGGGGTGTAATCTGTTTAAAATCGTATTCACAGAGTGGTCAAAGAATGGTTGAACAACGTGGGGAATTTTCACAAAGCATTTCAAAAATAGGGAATTGTATTGGTGTGGTTTGCACCATTTTTGGGATTTCTGGGGAGTGTTTTCTTTTAAGTCTTTACAATGAAGGAACCAAAGGCGGGCGGGTTGGGGGGGTGGGAATCAAAAGCTAAAGGGAAGGAAATAATTACAGAAAAATTTAAACTGATTCAACTAAGTAGTTCGCTGGTCCTCCAGAAAGTCTGAAGTTCTAACGGGAAGTGGCTGGCGTGTGTGTGTGTGTGTGTGTGTGTGTGTGTGTGTGTGTGTGTAGGTGTCTTTAATGGGCGCTGGAATGGGCTTCAGTGAGCACTCTGTCACTTGGGAGATGTTATCAGGAGAATGTGGCTGCAGCTGGGATGGGTCCTGAGAGTGGCAGGGCTCCCCACGTGTTCCCAGCCTAATGGCTTCCACATCCTCCCCGGGGGATACTTAACAGTGCCTAGTGAGAACAGCACTGCGTGGTGGCTGGACTCCTATGCCTTCAAAGATAGTAGCCACAAGGCGAATGTGGGTATCTAAAGTTAGAATTAAATCAATTGAAAAGTAATTAAAGATTCGGTTCCTCCACTTTCCTGGCCTCATTTCAAATGTCAGTCAACACTTAGGGCCATGGCATTTTTCTTTTTTCTTTCTTTCTTTCCCTTCTTTTTCTTTCCTCCTCCCTCCCTCCCTTCCTTCCTTCCTTCCTTCCTTCCTTCCTTCCTTCCATTTTTTAAGATTTCTTCCATTTTTATTGGAAAGGCAGAATTACAGACCAAGACATGACCTCAATGGCTGGAGCCGGGCTGATCTGAAGACGGGAACTTCTGCCAGGTCTCCCACGTGGCTGCAGGGACCCAAGGATCGCAAAGACTGCTGCTGTCTCAGGCCATAAGCAGGGAGCTGGATCAGAAATAGAGTAGCTGAGACAGAACCATCATCCCAATGGGATGCCAGCACTGCCGGTTCTGGGGCTTTTCCTAGCGACCTTGTTGATTGTGTAGATCAGGCTGAATAAGCAATGTTAATATTTTGACAGCATTGAGTCTTTTTTTTTTAAAGATTTATTTTATTTTATTATTATTATTATTTTTTTTTTTGCAAAGTTATGTACAGAGAGGAGGAGAGACAGAGATCTTCTGTCCCATGATTCACTCCCCAAGTGACCGCA